AATTCTAGCAAACCAGCTCCAGCAGTACATCAGAAAGATCATACACCAAGTAGGATTTATCCCAGAACTGCAAGGATGGTACAATATCAGCAAATCAATAAACATGATACATTACATAAACAAATTGAGAGACAAAAATCACAGTCATATCAATTGATGCAGAAAAAACATATGACAAAACCCAACACCCTTTCTTGATAAAAACTATCAACAAAGTGGGAATAGAAGGATCATTATCTCAACATAATAAAAGCTATATATGATAAAACCACAGTTAACATCATACTCAATGAGCAAAAACTAAAACCATTTCCCCAAAGAACAGGAACAAGTCAGGGATGCCCACTCTCACCACACCTGTTTGACATAGTACTGGAAGTGTTAGCCATTGCAATTAGACAAGAAAAAGAAATAAAAGGCATCCAAAATGGAAAAAATAAGCTGTCCTTACTTGCAGATGACATGATACTGTACATAAAAAACACAAAAAAGACTCCATCAAAAAACTCTAACAGAATTAATAAATGAATTCAGTAATGTAGCAGGATACAAAATTAATGCCAAGAAATCTATGACATTTCTATACACCACTAGTGAATTTACAGAGAGACAAAAAAGCAATCTCATTTACCATTGCATCAAAAAAATTAAGATACCAAGGAATAAACTTAACTAAGGAGGTAAAAGATCTATACATGGAAAACTACAAGACACTGAAAAAAAAAAAAAAAAAGAGATAGAGAAAGATATAAACAAATGGAAGAATATACCATGTTATATATTACCATGGGTTAGTAGAATCAACATAATTAAAATGTCTATACTACCTAAAGCAATCTATAGATTCAATGCACTCCCCATTAAAATACCAATGGCATATTTCACAGACCTAGAAAGAACTCTCCAAAAATTCATATGGAATAAAAAAAGACCCCGAATAACCACAACAATTCTGAGAAAGAAGAATAAAGTAGGAGGGATCTCAATACCAGATTTCAAGCTGTATTACAAAGCCACTGTTCTCAAAACAGCCTCGTACTGGCACAAGAACAGACATATAGACCAATGGAATAGAATAGAGAATTCAGATATCAACCCAAACCACTCTGCTCAATTAATATTTGGCAAAAGAGGCATGAACATACAATGGAGCCAAGACAGTCTCTTCAAGAAATGGTGTGGCCGAAACCGGTTTGGCTCAGTAGTAGAGCGTTGGTCTGCGGACTGAAAGGTCCCAGGTTCAATTCTGGTCAGGGGCATGTACGTTGGTTGCAGGCACATCCCCTGTGGGGGGGGTGCAAGAGGCAGCTGGTCGCTGTTTCTCTCTCATTGACGTTTCTACCTCTCTATCTCTCTCCCTTCCTCTGTAAAAAATCAATAATATATATATATATATATATATATATATATATATATATATATATATATTAAAAAAAGGGAAAAAAAGAAATGGTGTTGTGAAATTGGACAGATATATGAAAAATAATAAAACTAGATCACAAACTTACACATTATGCAAAAATAAACTCAAAATGGATCAAGGACTTAAACATAAGATGGGAAACCATAAAAATACTAGAGGAATCTACAGACAGCAAAATCTCAGACATATGCCGAAAGAACTTCTTCACTGATACTGCTTCTAGGGCAACGGAAACTAAAGAGAAATAAATTGGACTACATCAAAATAAAAAGCTTTTTCACAGCAAAAGAAACCATCAACAAAACAATAAGAAAGTCCACTGTATGAAAGAACATATTTAATAAAGGTTTATTCTCCAACATCTACATGCAGCTTATACAACTTAATAAAAGATAAATGATCCAATAAAAAAAATGGGCAACGAACCTAAATAGAATCTTTTCAAAAGAAGACTAAAGGAAGGCCAAGAGATACATGAAAACATGCTCAAAGTCACTAATTATCTGAGAGATGCAAATCAAGATGACAATGCAGTACCATCTCACACCTGTCAGAATGGTTATCATCAACATATGACAAGTGTTGGAGAGGATGTGGAGAAAAAGGAACCGTCATACACTGTTGGTCAGAATGCAGACTGTTGCAGCCACTGTGGAGAACAGCATGGAGTTTCCTCAAAAAACTAAAAATGGAACTCCCATTTGACCCACCAGTCCCACTTCTAGGAATATATTTCAAGAAACTAGAAACACCAACCAGAAAGGGTATATGCACGCCTATGTTCATAGCAGCACAATTCACCATGGCTAATATTTGGAAACAGCCAAAATGCCCATCAGCAGATGAGTGGATTAGAAAACTATGGTACATCTACATAATGGAATACTGCTATAAAAAAAGAAGGAATTCTTACCATTTGCCGCAGCATGGATGGATCTGGGGAGCATTATGCTAAGTGAAATAAGCCAGGCAATGAAAGAAAAATACATGATCTCACTCACTTGTAGATAAAAAACATTATAAATTGATGAACAAAAAGATAGATACAGAGGCAGTAAAGCATCAAACAGACAGTAAATCACAGCGGGAAGGTTAGGGAGAGGTGGGGGAGATAAGAGGTCAAACAAAGGACTTATATGCATACATATAAGAATAACCAAAGGATCCAAAACATTGGGGGTGAGGACATGTATGGGAGTGGGTGGTGGTGGGGACAATGGTAATATAGCAGGATATCAAATTTTTTATTAAGGTATTGTATGTACACACATAATACCTTAATAAAAAATAATAATAAATTTAAAAAATTTATATGACAAAAGGCTAATATGACAAAAGGCTAATAAGCAAATTGGCCAAATGGCAGAATGACCAGTCACTATGATGTGCACTGACCACCAGGGGGCACATACTCAATCCAGAGCTGCCCCTTGGTGGTTAGTGCACTCCCTCAGCCAGAAGCCAGGCTCACGGCTGGTGAGCGCAGCGGTGTTGGTGGGAGCCTCTCCCATCTCCACGGCAATCAGACATGCCCTGAGGGCTCCCACATTTTGAGAGGGTGCTGGCCAGGCTGAGAGATGCTCCCCACAACCCCCCTCTGAGTGCACAAATTTTGTGCACTAGGCCTCTAGTATAAATATATATTCACATGTATTGAATGTGCGTGCGTTTGTGTGTATGTATGTATATGTTATAAGATGCCTGGCCCAAAGGTTTCTAACCAGTTGTTCAAAGAGTTATTGCTGCGTGTCCACCAATTCATAAGTTTACAAATTCTACCTATAAATTTGTATATAACTTGATGCTCCCATCTATAAACAATGGATTGGTTAAGCAAATCTATATGTAAACAATGAAAAACCCATGTAAACAATTAAAATAAAGTTGTGGGTTCTGAAAATCAGTGATACAAATCTCCATTTGAATACCTGGAAACTGAGCCTCAAAACGTAAGGAGTAAAAATAAGTAAACTGCTAAATAACCTGTATTGAATGGCACCTGCACACAAAAAAAATAACACAAAAAAACACCTTTCTTTCTACTGGAACATCTGATTAGATTTAAACATGAACTCACTTTTATCTCATGTTAACAGAAATCTTGGGATAGCCACTACTCTTCTCTGCAACCACCTCATCTCCTTCAGCTAAACTGTACATATTAGCATTACTTCTGAACCCATCACAATCTGATGCCTGACATAATTTCCCTACTTAAATTCAATATATTCAACTAGAGGTCCAATGCACAAAACTCGTGCATGGGGGGTATGCCCCTCAGCCCAGCCTGCACCCTCTCCAATCTGGGACCCCACAAGGGATGTCCTACTGTGATCGGGCCTAAAAGGGCAGTTAGAATCCCTCTCACAATCAAGGACAGTTGGCTCCCAACTGCTTGCCTGCCTGCCAGCCTAATCACAACTAACCACTCCCCTGCCAGCCTGATCGCCCCTAACTGCCCTCCCCTACAGGTCTGGTAACCCCTAACTGCCGTCCCTTGCATGCCTGGTCCCTTCCAACTGTCCTCTCCTGCTGGCCATCTTGTGTCCACATGGGAGCAGCCATCTTGTGTGTTGGAGTGACAGTCAATTTGCATATTACTCTCTTATTAGGTAGGATACCCACTGACCTGTAGTGGGGTGGGGGGCAAAGATAAGATATGTTATCTTATATAATACCTTAATTAAAAAAAAGAAATCCTCCTATATAAAATAAAAGGCTAATATGCAAAATCTCTCTTAAACCAGTCTCATCATTCTTACCTTTCTCATCCAAACTTACATCATCCTTTATAGTAATAGTTTACTTCATATCTCTCTCCCTCCTTCATTGTCTACATAATAACCAAGGTAAGTACAAAACAAAGATTTGATCATGCTGCATATATAATCAAAACCTCATCCAACTCCCTTTAAAAGCCATTGCTCTTAGGATCAAGTCCAAACTTCCAAATATTTGAACACTGCCTGCATGATGCATAGATTCCTACACCCTTTTCCAGCCTCATTTTCTACCACTTTCTCTGAACTACTATAATGTTCTTTCATTTCTTCAACCTCACAACCTTTTTAAAAAAATCTTTAAATATGGCACTGTCTCTACTGGATCCACACCTATTTGAGTAATTTCATTTATCGCTGTGTGGTCTAGGGCAGTAGTTGGTAAACTGTGGCTCTTAAGCTACACGTGGCTCCTGAGCCACAGTTTGCTGCTGTTAACTAATGAGTTAACTGACTACTAGTCTATGAGAACAGAGTCTCTTTCCCTCAGTTTTTATTGAACTTACATAAATACATGACATGCAAAAAGTGTTGTTGTTGTTTTTTTTTTTTAATATCACAGTCACAACTACAAAATACAACGAAGATACTTCATGGGAAGACTGCTCTGTAGGTCTAAGTATCATGGCTATAAAGGAGAGTATCAAAGGCCATAGTAAAATGCTGTTAATTAAATAGCAATAAAAACAGAGACCGTGTAGGTACTTTCCAAGATAAAAATGAAATAAATTGAAATATTAATATGATCACTTATTAACAATTTGTAAGGGAGAAAGAACATTTTAAATTTTACTCACAAGTTTTTCTTTCTCTAGTTTTTGCAGTAAACTCTCCATGTTACTTCCAATTCTTGTCTTTTCTATGACTTCATAAAGACTGCAATACATTCCATTCTTCAAAACTGACATAAGAAAAAATACATAGTAAATATTCAAATTCAGGTCTGCTTCTTATATTTCAGTAAAATTAAATTACTTCACCTTCATTTGAACCGAAGTATGCTTCCCTGTAAAACAGTGCTGGAGGAATTTTCTGTTTCAGATGATCAATACTCATAACTGTTTCAACATCTAGCTTCTCAGGACTAAAAGAAAATTGAAAAAGCATATTTCCTTACATGTATTTTTAACTCTAGCAATGGTATCTCTCTTTTAAACACACACATACACACACACACACACACACACACACATATGTTGCTGGAAAACAAAGAGCATATATATTAATACTGTACTTTAAAGAAGAATTGATATGGAAAGTCCAGATGTACAAGTAAAGAGATACACAGCATGGCAATATTACCAACCTTCCAAATTTAAGACAAAAGCTAATTCTACATGCCAATCTTATCTAATAAAAGAGTAATATGCAAATTGATTATACCTCAGCTATACCCATCAGCCATGCCCACCACCCAATCAGGAGCCAGTATGCAAATTAACCCATCCAAGATGGCTACGACCATGGAAAGAGCAGGAGGCTTGGGTTGCCCCTGGCAATGGAGGAACTCAAGTTTTCTACCTGCCCTGGCACCTCCACTCAAGGCTACAAAGTTTCAAATATAGAAGATAAATAAATCCCAACAAAAATGGCTGTGGCCACAGAGTGAGCAGGAGGCTTCTCTCTGCTCAAAGGTACAAAGTTTCAATTATAGAAGGTAAATAAATCCCAGATACCAGGGCCTCTGCTTGGGTCTCTGGGGGGCAGGGCCGGCCTGCAAACCACCACAGGCCCCTTGCCCGGGCCACCCCATGCCCAAAGGGAACTCCCACCCTGATAAGGGATACTCTTCAGGGCAAACCAGCTCCCCCCCGCTGTCCCCCCCCCCCCCGGGGTGCACCAGGCCTCTATCCTATCTAAATCCTACATAATAAAAGGATGATATGCAAACTGACTGTCATTCCAACACACAAATGGCTGCCCCCATGTGGACATAAGGTGGCCAGCAAGGAAGGGCAATTGGGAGGGACCAGATCTAAAAGGGAGGACAGTTGTGGGCGATCAGACCAGCAGGAAGGGCCGTTGGGGGTGATCAAGCCTGCAGGGGAGAGCATTTAAGGGTGACCAGGGTGACCAGGATGACAGAGGAGGGAAGTTGGAAGTGAACAGGCTTGCAGGGAGGGGAAGTTTGGGGGGATCCAGGCCTGCAGTGGAGAGCAATTGGGGGGCGGGGGGAGGACCAGGCCTGCAGTAGAGGGCAGTTATATGCAAACAGGCTGGCAGGGGAGTGGTTAGGGTGTGATCAGGCTGGCAGGCAGAAGTAGTTAGGGGACAATCAGGAAGGCAGGCAGGCGAGCAGTTGGGAGCCAGCAATCCTGGATTGTGAGAGGGATGTTCGACTGCCCATTTAGGTCTGATCCAGGTGTGCAAACAGCCATATGGAAAATACATCTAATTAAGATAAAAATTTTTGTATTGATTTTAGAAAGAAAAAAGAGGAGAGAGGGAGAAAGACACAGAGGGGGAGTAGGAAGAGAGAAGTTAAAGAAACATTGATATGAGAGAGAAACATCAATTGATTAGGTTGCCTCCTGACCACACCCTCACCAGAGATTCGAACTTGCCACTTTTCAGTGTCTGAGACAATAACCAACTGAGCCAAACCAGCCAGGGATAGGATAAAACTTTTAAAAATTACTTTTACTATTTAAATTCATTAGGAAAAAGTTTTAAGCCATGAATGTGTATGACTTTTTAGCCTATCTTCACACCAAGACAGAAAACCAGAGGACTTATTGTACCAATTAAGTTTCTAAAGATATCAAATCAATCTTTTTAAAAAAAACAAACCGATACTGATATCTAAGTTCTTATGGATCAAAGTACCAAAGTAAAATTTAAAATATATTTTATTGATTTTTTTAAAGAGAGGAAGGGAGAGAGATAGAGAATTAGAGACATCAATGAGAGAGAAACATCGATTCAGTGCCTCCTGCACACTCCCCACCGGGGATGTGCCTGCAACTGAGGCACATGCCCCTGACCGGAATCGAATCTTTGACCCCTATGTCCGCAAGCTGACACTCTATCCACAGAGCCAAACTGGTCAGAGCCCAAAATAAAATTTAAATAGAAATAAGAAAAGCAAGTAGAGAAATTGCTATTTTTTCAATATTGCATACTTACAGTTTGATAGGCAAAAAAGCACGAGTGGCTGACCTCAGAGAAATATAGCACAAAAGCTTTCCTTTATTTAAAAGCTGTCCTTTCCACAAGGTATAATGAAATTTATCTTAAAAAAAAAAAAAAAGGGTGGGGTAAAGACACAATTCTTGGCAACCCAGAGCAAATATATGTTTACTAGAAAAAAGGGGAAAAACACTTAGAAATAAGGTTTTGTAGAACAAAACGAAGTATTTGAAATTTTTATTTACAGGAGAATTCAAATATTAGGATTTTTTGTTTAAGCTATCGTTTCCTCTACAAAATTATTTCAGCTGCAGAAAAATAACAATTTTGTCTAAATGTCTTAATATCAAAAAGCTAAGGAACAAAGACAATCTAGTCTACCCTCTTATTTCCCCCCAAGGAGACTATATGAAATCTGGTTAACTACATGAATCCATACTATGTCTCATACCTTCTACTCAATCTCTTTTCATTGTGGAGAAACCTGACCTAAACCTTTGACGAATTTAATACTTTTAAAAGGCTGAATTGTGAAACTTGTATTGTTTACTATTATCAATCCAAGTGGTCAAACCTGATCTATTCACAGCAGCAGCAGCTTCTCAAGGATGCCTTATGCCTAGATGACCAAATGCTGATCCTGTATTAGAACATGGCCTCACCCTCCTTTTCATACTTTGTAGACTCTCATTCATTATGAAAATAAATCAAAGCACTTAATTCATTAATTTTTTACTATGTGCATGTACTCTTTCAATTTAGAAAACTAAAGAATCTTACCTGTGTTTCTATCTGCATTAAAGCTGTTAGATCTAAAAAAAAAATTTTTTTTAATTACTAATTGTTAATATAAAAGTTAACACTCAGGACTTTGAGATAGGTGCTATTTTTAATGCATACTATACAAGAGAATTAAATTCTCCATCCAAGTAGGGGGAAGCAGTTAATTGCTTACTGTAACATTTTATTTTCTCCAAGTAAACTTGGATTTATTATTACTTACTTGACTTGAATTACCTTATTTGCCAAAAACTAAGGTACTGTTTTACCCAAAAATATTCATCAGGAGAAAAGAAGAGTTTATTAAAATCTCTGTTAATTACTTTATCCTTTATAATAAAGAGGTAATATACAAATTGACCATCACTCCAACACACAGATGGCCACCCCAATGTGGTCAAAGATGCCCACCACAAGATGGCTGGCGGGGGGGGGGGAGGAATCAGGCCTGCAGGGGAGGAGGGGGCAGTTAGGGGGGATCCAGGTCTGTAGGGGAGGGCAATTAGGGGGAACCCAGGTCTGCAGGGGAGGGCACTTAGGGGTGACCAGGCTGTCAGTGGAGGGTAGTTAGGGGAAACTAGGCTGGCAAGGGAGGGAAGTTAGGGTTGACTGGGGCTGTAGGGGAGGACAGCTGGGGCAACCAGGCCAGCAAGGGTGGGCAGTCACCCAGTTAGGGGTGACAAGGTCTGCAGGGGAAGGCAATTAGGGGCAATTGGGCCGGCAGGAATCAGTTAGGTGTCAATCAGGCTGACAGGGGAGTGGTTAGGGGGTGATCAGGCTGGCAGGCAGAAGTGATTAGAGACAATCAGGCAAGCAGGCAGATGAGCAGTTGGGAGCTAGCAGTCCTGGATTGTGATAGGGATGTCCGACTGCCTGTTTAGATCCACTGGGATCAGGTCTAAACGGGCAGTTGGACATCCCTGAAGGGTCCCAGATTGGAGAGGGTGCAGGCTAGGCTGAGGGACATACCCCCTTCCCCCACGTGAATGAATTTCATGAACCGGGTATCTAGTTCTAGTGATAAGATTCAAAGAAATGGCCCCAATACATATTTAAATGTAGTCATTCATTATTAAATAAAAATTTACTAATATTCTAAGTAACAAGACTACAGGGATGAATAAGTCCCCAGCCTTCATAGAGCTTATAATCTCATGAGGTAGACAGACAACAATAAGAAAGGTATTTATCAGATGGTGATGGGTTTAAGTTCTAAGGAGTGAAAACAAACAATAAGAGTACAAAGGTTAAAAAAATATCACAGAAGACATCAATAAGGTCACCTTTGAGGAAGTGAAGTTGTACATTATGCAGCTACTTGGGGAAAGAGAAGGAACAGCAAATGCAGAGGCCCTAAGGCAGGCACATTAAAAGTGGCATTCAAGGTACAGAAAGGATGTTCAATCAATGCCTGTTTAAATGCTATGAAGGTTAAAAGATGGAATCAAAAAGAAGGCAAAGAAAATTAATGAATAGTCATTATTCCTGGGAGTATGACCTCATAATTATTAAAGTGCTGAAAGGCACTATAACAAATGTATCATGGGAATGATAAATATAGATACATACACATATAGAAATGTTTGGATATCATGTGAATCCATACTTGATGGTTTCACGGTATAAAAAAAGTGTTAGATCTCAAACAAATGAAGACAACACTTGGATCTGGAAACTAATAAAAGGTTAACCTCAAAAATATATTTTTACTGATTTCAGAGAGGAAGAGAGAGACAGAAACACTAATTATGAGAATCATTGATTGGCTGCCTCTTGCATGCCACTGGGGGGTCAAACCTGCAACTTAGGCATGTTTCCTGACCAGGAATCGAACATGACCTTTTGGTTCATAGGTCAATGCTCAACTAATGAGTCATCCCAGCCAGGCTACACTGACTTTTTAAATCACAATGAATATTTATGTATCTAATTAATCTTAAGGGGAGAAAAAACGAGAACAAAACAAAGGGCTCCTTCTAACTATGCAGTCCAAAATATATAATACCATTCTGAATGATGCTCAAAACTCCTAAACCTTACCTTAATGAAGGTACAAACTTCGGAGGTTGTATATCATCTTGGTAAGTAAAAGACACAACTGCATATGGACACACGTGTCTTGGTCTTCGCCTTAGTTCATCAAAGCCATACTCATAAAAGTAATACTAAAAATAAGAAAATGCAAAGTTAACTTAGAAAGCAAAAATACAGAGAGGGAATCTTGTATTTATCTGCCTGATTTTTTGAAAAATATAACACTTAAATGTGCCTCTACCAGAAAATATCTTTAAGCACTGCTTGCCAATTTAATAATTTGTACTTTATATTCATTTTATGTTATAAGATGTTCTGCATATATGTGTGTGTGTATGTGTGTGTAGATATATGTATATATGATGCCAAAATACTAGTAGGTTTTCCAAAATTTTATTTCTTAAAGAGATGACCATGAGGAATATGGTCAACAAATTTCCTCATAAAAATGTTACAAATGGGGCTCCCTTGTCAGCTCAGAAAAGCCAATTTAATACAAAAATTAAAATACTACACACAACCTCAACCAAACCTACCATGTTGTTCATGTCAAAAGGAAAACATAGTCTTAGCTTTAACTGCAGACAAAAAAAGAGAGATCACAAACATAGGTAGGTGACCCTCTTCCTTCTGCCAATCTGCATTAGACCAGGGTTTTGTGACTTGCAGACTAGTAGTTTGTCCGGCCAGTGTGACTCAGTGGTTGAGTGCATTAACCCATGAACCAAGAGGTTATGGTTCAGATTCCTGGTCAGGGCACAGGCCTGGGTTACAGGCTCGATCCCCAGTAGGGGAGTATGCAGGAGGCAGCCGAACAATGATTCTCTCTCATCATTGATGTTTCTATCCCTTTTTCCTTTTCGCTTCCACTCTGAAATAAATAACAGTTTTTTAAAAAGAGTGCCTCAGTTTATAAACAAGGCACTATCCTTCAAAGTCCATTCCCTTGGGGTATGTTGTTACTCTGAAAATGCCTGAAAATTTTTTTGAAATATCAAGCCAGTTTATAAATTCTCCTAGAAAGGTCAATAATTACTGTAAGTTTATATCTCTTATCTACCAATACCACCACTGTCCAGAAGGTAATCAAAAGAGTCCGTCCAGACAACCTTGGTAAATATAATTTTTGCTAAAAGCCCCCCCAACAGGTCTTGCACAATGAGATTCTTCAAAAATAAAATATTAAGTTTTTTAATTTAAATATCAATTGGCTGCGTCCTGCACATTTGTTAGAAACATTACTTTAAAAATGACCTTACTTTATAGTCAAACATCATATATAACACAATGACTAAAATACATCAATTAGAACACTTTCAAGTATGTGTAGTTTACTGTGTATCAATTATATCTGAATAAAGCTTAAAACTTAATCTAAGTTTGCATCTTAAAAGTTAAAGTAGAAAATATTTTATCAAATCAATAGTACAAAATAATATGAATTAAGGTATTTTAAGAGGCTTCAACTCTACTTTGAAGGAAGAATATTATATTATTAGGCAAAAACTCTCTCTAAGCCAAGAAAAGCCAAGGCTTCAAAATGAAATGAGGTAAGGGCAGAGCTCATAAAAAAACAAAAACAAAAAAAACAAGATGGACAAAACAGTTTACAGGCAGGGTGAATTAGGCTAAGGATTCTGAATATCTGTAAGTCTATATTTCTAAGTTGTCTTGGAAACACTGAACAAACAGCCAAGACACTGGAGTCTGGGAATAATATGTGGAAACCAGAGCCTAGACTGATGTGGTTGATGTGGTGGCAGAAGGAACCGAAAATGGGATATTTTAAAAGATTTGGTGACAAACAGATATCATATCATAACACTAAAATGGATTCAGGTACCTACTTGAGTAAGCTCATAGGCTCGGTAAGCCAAAAGTGATGTAATTCTATTGGCATTCTTCGACACATGACATTCATGCTTTGGTGTTGGATCCAAAGCACTTTTAGATTCCAAACTTTTTACACCCATGGGTTCATATATACTTTTGATTTTACCCTAAAACAGAGAAAACATTTTAAGTCCACCCAAACCTAATTATTGACTATATTATTACAGACTATTTCTTTGAATATAGATCACCTATAACAGGGTTTTTTTCCCTTTAATATGTGATAATAAAGTAACACCCAACACATTTTGTAAATATTGAAGAAAAAGTTAACCATAAAAAAGTGTTTGAATTTATTTTATAAGAAAGAAAAAAATTTATTCACAATACTTTTCACTAGTCTAAATGACATTACCAATATATTACCCTCCTTTCTTCATTCTATTTTTTTTGAAAGGCAAACTCTAAAATACAGTAAGCTTACATCAAAGATGGCAAATCATTCTCAAAAGTATCTTCTATACCAAACACAAGCAAGCTGTTTTTTAATTTAATCTCCTAAAAATAGGGTCAACTAAAATCCAAATCAAATGTTATCTTTGATATATGAAATGTAAAAGTTAAAATTACCTTCATTACTTTAAAAATAATAACATCACCCACTGTCCCAGCTTCCAAAGGATTAGCTTGTAACAAATCAGGATACCTAGAAAGATAGATACCTAATAAAGAGAAAAAACTTTTTAATTTAAATTTGAATGACACAAATACAAAAAAATATAAATATTTAATCTAATGATAAGAAATTATACGACTGACACCTTTTTAGAAAATGTAATGACAGTAATATTTCACCAACGCAAAAATAAAACCAGAACAAAATATTAAACTAATAGAAAATTTCAAATTTCAAACCACTAGTACTTGACTAAGACAAAAAAAAAAAAAAAAAAAAAAAAGCACCTTTTTTTTTTTTTTTTTTTTTTTTTTTACTATATTATTACAAAAAGCATTTTGGATAGCATGCAAAAATTAAAAACAAATAATAAAACTGGTTTCACGTCACAAAACCTAAAATTGGTCTCCTTTTCTGGGTCTATGACAACTAATAAAAGGGTAATATGCTAATTAGACCAGACATCTTCCAGACATCCTTCCAGACAAAGCCATGGGGCAGGGCTGAAGCAGAGGTAGTTAAGGGCGATCAGGTAGGCCGGGGAGAGCAGGTAGAGGGATCAGGTAGGCCGGAAAGAGCAGTTAGGTGGGTCAGGCCAGCAGGGGAGAGCAGTTAGGGTGATCAGGCTGGCAGGCAGGTGAGTGGTTAGGAGACAGCAGTGCAAGATTGGATCGGGCCTAAACCAGCAGTCGGCATCCCCCAATGGATCCCAGATTAGAGAGGGTGCAGGCCAGGCTGAGGGACACGCCCCCTGCCCTCTATGCATAAATTTCGTGCACTGGGCCTCTAGTACATAAATGTAATGGCAAGAATTGAAGTAAAATCAAATAATATAATTTTAAATGGCAACTTCATAGTACACAAATGAAAAAAGAAAAAAAGATTACCCATGGAAGGACTGCCAAGAATTGTTATTTTGGACTGGCCCACCTGTAGTCCTTTTTCACATATGCTTTGAACCTAAATAAACAAAAAACTTCATCTTGCAATCATAACACATTAAAAATGTGAAAAGATATTTTGTAAACTTGTTTTAAATAAAATCTGTTTCTAAACTATGTATTTCTAACATTATAGAAATTTTATATATAAGACAGTTTATGACTAAATATTAATGTGACTTACACTTCTAATGTAACCATAACTGGGAATCCAGTTTTGTTTATGTTAGATACTCAGAATTCATATCGCTCATATATAAGCATCCCATTTTAAAGTGAATTAAAACTATTTAAAGAGAAAGTAACTCAACTAAAGCCTATGAACCAGGAGGTCACGGTTTGATTCCCAGTTGGGGCACATGCCCAGCTTGCAGGCTCAATCCCCAGTAGGGGCTGTGTAGGAGGCAGCCAATCCATGATTCTCTCTCATCATTGATGTTTCTCTCTCTCGCTCTCTCCCTTCCTCTCTGAAATAAAAAAAGAAATTTTAAAGAATCAATTAAAGATGAAAAACTGGATCCAAGTACATATAACCAATAAAGGATCTATCTTAATAAAGGGAAAATTATTCATTATCAAGCACATTCTAAGGTAAAAAAATAGGTTTTGTCAGGAAAAAATGAGCACCTTTGAAAAACAAATCACAAAACAATGAAATAGCTTTGCCTCACTAAATTATTTCTTCTACTTATACATCAAGAACATGCTACTTATAATTATCAAGTGTACTGTTGAATAAATGAAAAATTACTAATTAACAATGGGAACATTCTCAAATTGCTTTTTTAAAATTTTTATTTTATTATTTTTTTAAAATATATTTTATTGATTTTTTTACAGAGAGGAAGGGAGAGAGATAGAGAACTAGAAACGTCAAAGAGAGAGAAACATTGACCCAGCTGCCTCTTGCACACCCCCTACCTGGGATGTGCCCGCAACCAATGTACATGCCCTTGACCAGAATCGAACCTGGGACCTTTCAGTCCGCAGACCAACGCTCTACCGCTGAGCCAAACCGGTTTCGGCTCAAATTGCTTTTTTTTTTTTAATGAATCACTTACCTGATAGCGATTAACCATTAAAAATGCATAGGATTCTGAAAGTTCTTTATCTGAACGGCCATCAAACTTCAGTTCTCTTCGTTTTTCTGTAAACTAAGTGAAATTAAACCTATAAACAGCTCTGTAGCATGTAATTACATTTTTTAAGCTAAGAGTTCAGTAATTTTGTTTCTAAAAAATTCCAAACCTACTAAAGTACAAATTATATTTTCTCTCTTTATAGTTTGTGTTCCCATTTTTTTACTGTTTTAATTGGTTCTTTACCTTCACAATATAGTCAAATGAGCATCTAGTATTTATCAATTTTAACTTAATTTCTATTAAAATTTTACAATTCCAACTCTATTTTTAAGTTCAAGTTTTAGTTATTTTTGGATCACTCATTTTAACATTGTGCACTACAAAGACTAAGTGGCTTAATAAATCTGTTGAACGACCCACTTCTAAACTATAAACTCAATTAGACAAGAAAAAATGTTTCATTTCTTAAAAGTGTATTCTAATGCTACGTACATAAAACACATTCCAAACATATTACCAGGATAAAGACCGACTTGGTTTAAGTACATCTGAACTCTAAGTCACCCGAAACTGCTGGCTTTTGCTTGTATCTAAAGATACAAGATAGATATATTTAAAATATGGAGCCCACATCTAATGTATGTAGTAGACAGGCCATTATTGATCTTTAATAATATAATCAGAGAATCTATAGACTCAATTTTCATATAAAATTAACAAATAATCTATCATAAAATGAAACCACATCAAACTACCAAGGTTTTCATTTTTTCTGGGAGTCAGTAACATTAGAGGTCCTTTCAAAGTTAAAATTTGGTAATACTGAGTTAACCAACATCAAAAAAATACAAAATTAATAGTATTTATGTACATTAGAATGCAATTTATACATCAAATATTTCTAAACACCTCATTTGTATTACACTTCAGAATTATATGTTGGCTTTTCCTAAATCAAAACTCAAAAGAATATTCTCATACATGACACGTAAATTCACTATCTAACATGCTTAACTGTTTCCCTCTGTTCATACTTTATTCACTAAGAATTTTAACTATTAAGATAACCCAAACATTGAGAATCCAAGATGGCGGCATAGGTAACATCTAACTGCAGCCTCACACAACAATTTCAATAAAATACAACTAAAATACAAAATGGACATTACCCAGAACTACAGCAAAGTCGACTGACGGAAATTCTACAAGGAGAAGGAAAGAGAAAACCAGAAAGAAAATCAGAGGAGCTGTAAAAGCCTAAGGTACGGAGACACGTTGCGTGCGTGGAGAGGACGGTGCCGGAGAGGAGGGGGAGGCTGAGTGCCTGGCTGACGATCCCTAGCGGGAAGGAGATAAAAGCTCCGGACTGTGCTGAACTCCAGATCCGAGAGCACTGAACCCCAGTTCTAGGCCAGACCCTGGGGACCCAGGCTCATACAGAGGGAACCTGGGCTGTTAGGCAGAATCTAAGGGGAGTGGTGAAAAGCAGAGCCCCCGGAGGCGCGCCCATTATGCGCAGAGGATGCACCGTTGACTCTGTTGCTAGATTGCCCTAGTGGGAAGGAGACAAAAGCTCTGGACTGTGCTGAGATCCAGTTCCAACTGCACTGAACCCCAGTTCTAGGCCAGACCCTGGGGACCCAGGCTCATACAGAGGAAACCTGGGCTGTAAGGCAGAAACCTAGGGGAGCGCCGAAAGGAAGTCCTCGAGGCGCGCACATTGCACTCAGAGAACGGGTGGTTGACTGTGCCGCTGGATTGCCCTAGCGGGAAGCAGAAAAAAGCTCCAGACTGCTCTGAACCCCACTTCCAACCCCACTTACAACTGAACTGAATCCCAGTTCCGGGCTCATTGGGGGAGAGCCTAGACTATTTGGTAGCAGGCGAAACTCGAGGGCACCTTTCTCTCAGAGATGCTTGCAACGAGTACTGAAGAACCCTGAGGAATACTGAGACTCAGGAGCCTCATAGAACGTGGCTGACGAAAGCCAGGCTGTAGGCTCCACCCTGAAATTCCGCCCCATCCAAGCTGAACAAAGAGACTTTTAAGGCTACCAACTCAGGAAAGCTGCGAAAATGCCAAGACAAGGAAACAGATCACAAACGAAAGAAATGGAGGACAAAAAGCGACTGGATATAGAATTCAAAACCACGCTTATAAGGTTTTTCAAGAATTTCCTAGAATAGGTCGAAAACATCTATGAAGATTTGAAAAGGGATCAACTAGAAATAATAAGGGATCAACAAGAAATAATAAGGGATCAACAAGAAATAAAGAATACATTATCTGAAATAAAAAATATTATACAGAGTCCTAAAAACAGAATGGAAGATCTCAAGAATCAAGTCAAAGATTTTGAACATAAAGGGCCAGAAGACACTCCTCTGCAGAAGCAAGGAGACAAGAGAATCCAGAAAGTTGAAGATAATGTAAGAAACCTCTGGGACAAATTCAAGCGAACCAACATCAGAATTATGGGGGTCCCAGAAGAGAGAGAGCAAGATACCAAAAACATACTGAAAGAAATAGTGACAGAAAACTTCCCCCACCTGGGGAAAGAATTAGACTTACAAGTCCAGGAAGTGCACAGAACCCCAAACAAAAGAAATCCAAAGAAGACCACACCAAGATACATCATAATTAAAATTCCAAGAGCAAAAGACAAAGAGAGAATATTAAAAGCAGCAAGAGAGAAACGGGTAGTTACCTATAAAGGAACACCCATACGGCTGTCAGCTGATTTCTCAACAGAAACCATGCAGGCCAGACGGGAATGGCAAGAAATATTCAAGGTGATGAATAGCAAGATCCTACAGCCAAAAATAATCTTCCCAGCAAAGCTATCACTCAGAATCGAAGACCAGATAAAAAGCTTCACTAATAAAAAAAAGCTAAAGGAGTTCATCACCGCCAAATCAAAATTATATGAATTGCTGAAGGGGGTTCTTTCGGAAGAGAAAGAAAATAAAGAAAAAATTATGAACAACAAGTACATAACTATTAAGAAGTGAATCTAAAAACCAAGGGAATTAAAAAACCTGATGAACAATATTAACTATTGAATATAATAGAATCAGAGGTATGGGAGGGAGTGGTCTGATGATTCTCAGGGAAAAGAGGAGTGGGGGGTGTGGGAAGAGACTGAACATAAACTGTGCACCTATGGATGAGGACAATGGGGGGTGGGTAAAGGGCAGAGGGTGGGGTAGGAGCCTGGTGGAGGGGGAAAATAATGGGGAACATTTGTAATAATATGAACAATAAAGGTTTATTTAAAAAAATAATAATAAAATGAGGATGGGCTGAAACCAGTTTGGCTTAGTGGATAGAGCATCGGCCTGTGGACTGAAAGGTCCCAGGTTTGATTTCAGTCAAGGGCATGTGGTTGCAGACACATCCCAAGTAGGGGTTGTGCAAGAGGCAGCTGATCAATGATTCTCTCTCATTGATGTTTCTAACTCTCTATCCCTCTCTCTACCTCTCTGTAAAAAAAAAAAAAAAAAAAAAAAAAAATCAATAAAATATACTTAAAAAAAAAAAACAATAATCCAAATATCAATCAACAGATTGGGGGGGGGGGGGAATTAAGCATATCCTAAAAAAATATATATACACTTGATTTCATTATGCTCCAATTTAGGCATAATATATAGTTAAAAAGATGTCATTTAAAACTAAATGTTTTCCCTTCCATAAATTGGCTTTCCTAGAAACTTTTTTTTTTTAATACATTTTTATTGATTTCAGAGAGGAAGGAAGGAGAGAGAGATAGAAACATCAATGATGAGAGAGTATCATTGATCAGCTGCCTCCTGCACACCCCACACCTGGGGACTGAGCCTGCAACCTAGGCCTGTGCCCTTGACCAGAATGGAACCTGGGACCCACAGGCTGACACGCTTTCCATTAAGCCAAACTGGCTAGGGCTAGCTTTCTTTTTTTAATCCTCACTCAAGGACATGCTTAGAGAAGGTAGAGAAAAAAAAACATTGATGTGAGAGAGAAACATCGATGGGCTACCTTCTGTACATGCCCCAACTAGAGATCGAACCTGGAAACCAGGCATATGCCCTGACTGGTAATAGAACCAGCAACTTTTCAGGGCACAGGACAACACTAAGCCAACAGTCATTCCAGCTAGGCAAAAACTTTAACATTTTTAAAGAAAAGAAAAACAAAACAAATTCCAGGCTACTAATTGATTCTGTAGAATCTGTAAATTTACAATTTAAAACATACCTCTTTTTCCAGAAGCTCATTATGTACCAAGCAAGCACATTTATAGTTAAAATTTGTTACTGAGGTTGGTTCAAGGTAAGATGAATGGAGAATATTTAAAACGTCTTCAAATTCACGAGATCCTGGAGTTAATGGCTGAAAAAGTGCTAAAAATGAAAAAATATTAATTTTCAGATGGATTCTTAAATGCAGTTGTTTTTATTTTTGTGGGCTTTTACAAAAAATTTTCAAAGGCTTCAAGATTATCTTACTTTGTGATATGCAGGAGATACTTATTGATTCACTAAAGAAAAATGAAAAGCAGTTGCTCAAATCCTTTAGCAATAAACCTTCACATTAAACATGCACACAATGCTATAATTTTGTAAATCTTAGGGATGCTACATTAGGCAACCTAAATTGCATAGACTCTCATATGAACTTGCCCATATACTTAACTCCTATTTTTCGCTACACTGAAATAGTGGACCATTTATTTCACCAAACTGTTTCCACCCTAACTGAAAAAGCATAAAAACATTGAATAAAACATTTAGGTGTCTATAAAATAAAATGATTCCATTTGGTGTTTAGTACAACAGTTAGATATGCTGCATTGATTGGCACCTGGTATTACTAACAAGTGGTAGGACATTTATTACAAAAACTTAGTGAAAAAAATGTGAAGTTTTAGAGTCAAATCTGAATGCCAATATCCTATCCAGCATTTTTTGGCTTTATGGAGACCTGGGGGTAAATCAATTACTTAATCAAACATAAGCTCAATTCTCTCATTTTTAGAACAAAGAAATTTAGCTATCATAAGTAACCACTATATGCCACATGCCACACAGGACAACACATGGAAAAGATTTCACTTGGAATCTAATGAACAAAATAAGAAAATAAGCCAAAGCCGGTTTGGCTCAGTGGTAGAGCGTCAGTCTGCGGACTGAAAGGTCCAGGTTCGATTCCGGTCAAGGGCATGTACCTTGGTTGTGGGCACATCCCCAGTAGGGGGTGTGCAAGAGGCAGCTGGTCGATGTTTCTCTCTCATCGACGTTTCTAGCTCTCTCTCTCTCCCTTTCTCTCTGTTAAAAATCAATAAAATATATATATAAATAAATAATTAAAAATTAAAAAAATAAGAAAATAAGTAAACTAACAGACAAAATAGAAACTATAGATACAAAGAATAGACTGACAGCTGTCAGAAGGGAGGGGATTTGAGGTGCTTGGTGAAAAGGTGAAGGGATTAAGCAAAAAAACAAAACTCACAAAGACATTATAAACAGTATGATGAGCAGAGGAAAAGGGGGGATTGTTGAAGAAGATAAAGGGGGATAAGTGATGATTGAAGTAGATTTTACTTGGGTTGTAAACACAATATACAGATAACATACCTTGTTTCCCCGAAAATAAGACAATGTCTTATATTAATTTTTTCTCCCAAAGTTGCGCTAGGTCTTATTTTCAGGGGATGTCTTATCTTTCCATGCGCTAGGTCTTATTTTCCGAGGATGTCTTATTTTCAGGGAAACACGGTATTATAGAATTGTATACCTGAAATCTATATAATTTTATTAACCAATGTCACCCAATAAATTCAATTAAAAAATACTTGAATAGTTAATGCATGATAGATTTGTGGGATTTTCCCCCCTCATTGATTTTCATAGAGTGGGAAGGGGAGGGACAAAGAAAAAAACACCGATGTGACAGACACATGAATTGGTTGCTTCCCATGTACCCAAACAATGGCCAGGGATCAAGCCTGCAACCAAGGTACATGCCCTTGACCGGAATCGAGCCCAGAACCCTCTAGTATGAGGGTTGATGCTCTATCCACTGAGCAAAACTGGGTAGGGCAATTTGTATGTTTCTAAACTAACAAAGTGACCTCAGGTATCTAAAATAGGCCAAAAAGTATCATATGGCTTCAAATTTCTAGGTAATTTTACAAATCTTCATAAAAGAAATTGCTTTCTTAGTTGAGCTGCTCCAACACTATTTCTACCATCAATCTAATCGTAAGAGAAAAATTAAGTTAAATCATATAAGTTTATATAGCAATTAACATTTAAGTTATTTTCAAAAAAGTACTTAACATTTCTGTTTCATTCCAAAGTATTGTACTAAAGAGAAACTATTTTTAAGAATTCAGGTCAATATGCCCGTAAAAGTAGTTTAGAAATTTAACTATTCTGTTGTGAATGTGCATTCCCTGGTGGTCTATTTTGTTATCCTTAATAATACTCTAAACATTAGATATACTCTGGTCAACATATCACTTCCTTTACAGATAATATATATAAATCGTAATCTTAATTATGGGCCATTTTTTTGAGGCAAGAATAAACAACCCTGTGACTATCCAAATGGGGAACAAAACATTTATCTATTAATCACCCATTTCACTTAAAGGAAGTCAGTATCCAATATTTTCTTCTCTATATTCTAACCATTATTGAGACTAATAATTAGTGGGTCATTACTACTTTTCAGAGCTTTACATGCATTACCTCACCTAATAATCAAAACCACCCTATTTAATTTAGTTCATTGTGCCCATTTCACAAATAAAACTGAGACAGCTGAAGGTAACTTGCTCAAGGTAACACAATTAATAGGGAAGCTGGGATTCAAATTCAGGCTGCCCAGAGCTCCTATTCTGAATTCTAAGTTTTTTATTTTTATTTTTTTTTTAAAGTATGTGTGTGTATAAGTGCTCAAACTTCATATATATACACATATATATGTTCTTCCTACTTTAAAAAAGGAAGTCATTTAAAACACTTAAAACATAGGAAATTAACTATAAAACAAAAAGAATTTATGCCTAGGATTATGCTATTTCTACCCTCTATGTGTCTTCTCTGAAATCTTTCTCATTGTAATAAATTTAATAGGGCCAAAGGCCACGGAAACCTTTTTTGTTGTTGTTGTTTGTTTATAAAGGTTAGCAGCAGGGATACATTAAGAAACATACAATTTTACTTATTTGCATGACTTCCTTCAAATGCATGCCAGAATGATGACTACTGAGTTGATTTCTAATCACAATTCGTAAGATTTCCCTATCCTAACTTAAATTTTATAGGATTAAATAAGAGATTTACAAAGATACTTGGAGATTTATAATTCGGATAAGAAAACACTGTATCACAGAATCAGAACTAGAATCCAAATCTCCTGACTCCATATTCATATTATCACTAAATATTTTTCATTACTGGTAGCATACAAAACATACTCAAGAATTTAATCTTATTAATGCAGTTGAAAAAGAAATAAAATTTAAGTCATCAAATAATTCCTTAGTCAAAGGAACATTTTTCCACAATTACCTTTACCAATTTAGAGTCAATCCTGATCTTTTATATTTCTATTAAAATTGTGTATATGCACACACAAAAAAGCTTAATTTTTAAAAGGTGGACCCCTTTTCAAAACACGCAAGTGGATAATATGAAGTATTCATTCAAATTTAAAGTGACTAATTCATGGAAGAAAAGAAAATAACAAAAAGTCTGGGGATCATATGTGGTAATTCTTTGTGAATCAACCTCTCTGAAGTCTACTACTATTAATGATTAAAACCCAATAAATATCCATTTGTTCCTTACAATAAATAAGTTACTTTAAAAATCACTTTTCTTCATTCTAATAAAACTGCTACAATCTTTAGGAATGGTACTTTCATCTCTAAATCAAGGTTGAACATACTGCAGAATTAGCAATGAATACGCTGGCAGAGATCTACAGAAACAAATACAAATATTACACTATTGACTTTTTCTTTGGACTAGGGTCAGGGTCAAAGAAAATTTTACTTCCATTATGTAGTATTTATATGCACCTATCAAACATTTTATGTGAATAACCAGATTCTGCCTACGCTTTCATTCTCAGGTTTTCTGTGTAGAAAAACCAATGGTACTTAGAACCCAATTCAGAGCTAATGAAACACCAGCCGGGACCGGTTTGGCTCAATGGTAGAGCGTCGGCTTGGGGACTGAAAGGTCCCGGGTTCGATTCCGGTCAAGGGCATGTACCCTGGTTTCGGGCATATACCCAGTAGGGGGTGTGCAAGAGGCAGCTGATCGATGACTCTCTCTCATCGATGTTTCTGACTCTCTATCTCTCTCCCTTACTCTCTGTACAAAATCAATAAAATATATTTTAAAAAAAAAGAAAAGGAGACAGTTCCAAAAACAATTACAAATTTTGTGGGAAAAGATGGAAAGTGAGAATTAGTCTAAGATTAGACCAGTATGGATGCAGGTGTATGATACACATGCACGAGACACCCATATATGAGCAGTTAATCTTGTGCCCTACAGAAAACATTAACCAAAACACGTTTTACAGAAAGTGATTTCCCAAAACCTTTGGAGGGAAAAACCGTATCAAATACAATTACCATTTTAACTTACTTTTGATGACTTACAGTATTAGATTTTAGAGTAAAAGAAGGCAATAGTAAAACGTCTACTGAAAAAATGCAATTCTACAATTTAAATATAGAAGTGCCTCTTTACACTGCTATAGAAAACAGCCCAGCCAATAAATAACACAACATATATTAGAGTAAAATTTTACTCTTCCAGTCAATAGTTAGGTCATTTAATCTATCAGTACTGATTAAATGTATTAATTTTATAATGAACTTAATCTCAATTCCCCAGGGATGAAGACATGCTAAACATTTCTAAATTTAGGTTAAAAAGGAACACTTTTACCCTAGCTGGTTTGGCTCAGTGGATAGAGCTTTGGCCTTCGGATTTAAGATTCTCGGATTGTTGGCTCAATCCCCAGCAGGGGGCATGCAGGAGGCAGCTGATCAATGATTCTCTCATTATTGATGTGCCTACCTCTCTTCTTCTCTGAAATAAAAATATATTTTAAAAAACTTTTTAAAATAGATCAGATCAAAAATTAAATAAAACTCATATATTAAAAAGAGAAGTCTTGCTACAGTTTTAGTGACAGGTACTCTACACCTAGGTTCAAATTCCAACTCCACCAATTACTAACTCTGTGATTTGGGCAAATTATTGAACCTCTCAGTACTTCACTTTCCTCATCTATAAAATGGGAATAGTACCTACCACATAGTATTGTTGAGATTTAGTTAACACATATAAACTGTTTATAATGCCTATAACTTACTAAACATTATAAAGTATTTGACATTACTTAATTAGAATGGCAGTATTTTGGATGTTACCCTATTGTCAAGACAAAGAAAACCAAATCAACACGTTACTATATTCACATAGTATTTACCTTTAAGGTACCAAAAATATTCAAGTCCTAATCTTAAATTTCAGTGGAAAACATAGCCACAAGAAAAGGTTTTCCGTATTAAAATACGATTGCGACAGAACCTTTGATACTTGAAAAGTTCAAGCGGAGGTATCTACTAAAATGATTAATAGACTTATACCTAGCCAAATCTTACACCTTTCAAAACTTCCAAGATGATTTTGAAATGGTGAAACTCACAGTATCTGCTGTACTGCTTCTGATAAAAGCATTTTGTTTTAAAAAATGAAACCCTAGCTTATTTGACTCAGTGGGCAGAACGCCGGCCCCTAGAAGGGTCCAGGGTTAGATTCCAGTCAAAGGCACGAACCATTGTGGGCTTGATTGCTGGCCCTGGCCCGGATTGGGGCACATTCAGGAGGCAACCAATCAATGTGCAGGAAGCAACCAACCAATGTGCCTCTCTCACATCAATGTTTCTCTGTCTCTACTCCTCCTTTCTATGCTCTAAAAATAAATGGAAAAATATCCTCTGGTGAGGCTTAGAAAGAAACCATTTAATCACAAAAAATAAAAAATAATGAAAAGTTGAATATTTCTACTAAATTCTATCAAGCACCAACTGCTTTCAGCTTGGACGGAATCAAGTCCATGGTGGTAAAATAGCTGTTTATTTAATTTTAAAGGCCCTATTTAAATCATTTTAATGATTGCATTATTTGAATAGCTGCTGCTCAGTGTATAAATATTTAGGCAACTTAAAAACTCATCACTTCCACTACACATGAAAAAGTCCATTATGTCATATTTTCCTTATTCAAAACCTCCCTAACAAGAAAAAGGTAACCACCTTTTGCCTCTAAGTGAAAATGGTAAATATAAATTTTCCACAAAGGGCATCAGACTCAGGAGATAACAATTTCTTATTTCCTAATTCCTGAATTATATCCATTTTTAGTGTGTTAAAATATAGCAGCTTCACAATTTATCTTACTTAAAAGACACAAAACGACAATGCGTCTCAACATTTTCTAGTGCCTTCTCTCATTTCAAATCAAACTGTGAAGGTTTCTAGGCCAATTTTCTGATCCCATCAAAAGGATCATAAACCAAGATATGCCAATAAATCATAATGAGGGCCCATCTGAATTTACTTACAACCTACTACCAATTGATAATTTAGGCAGGGCATTAACTTTCCTCGTAAAGCGCCCTTTACTATATAACTGAAACAAAAGAACTGACCTTGACCTTTACAAACACCCTCTTGAACCCAGAACATATTACATTAACTTATTTCTAGAAACATCCTCATACTGGTGAACAAAAGGTAACTTCACCTTTGTCACCACTTTTTCTCACAAGGATCTTGGCTTTGTCATCCAAACAGAAATTAACAGTATATGTACCTAACTGATAAATGGCTCTAACAATTTCAATTGGGCAAATGGAGTTGGTTATGCAGGTGGAAAGAAGCACACGCTTCATTCTAGATCCTGTCTTTACTAAATTATGTTTTCTGTAAATAAAAATGTTCACTATTTTCCAAAGTAAATCATGACACACTGAACCACGCAGTAAATAAAAGAGAGGGTTTAAACTGACTTAATCCAGAACATCCTGTATCACCGGCTAGTCAAAAATAGTGCTATAAAACAATAATTCTGATCTCCATTAAAATGTCACAAATATGGCAGTAAGTTTAAAAAAAAAAAGATAACGTAGTTCATGTTATTGTTCCCATATTGGCTCCAAAAATTTGACTTTTTTTGTTGTTATTTCATCTGAAGGTTCTCAGATGCAATATCAAATTGGAGACTCTTGGACATAAGCTAACCTATCCCTATCCCCTCCCCCCCCATAGGGAAGTTACTGCACCAAGAGCCTACCTTCCCATTCTCCAATACAATATAAAAATACACTGAAGTTTGGATTTAAGAGGAGAGAGCGGCCTATTTAAGCAAACGCTTCAAAACCAAGAAAAAAAAATCATCTACATGGTAATGGAAGTGTGATGGAAAATATAGCAGTGTGCATGAATCACATCTAATGGAGATTATTCTAGACAAGGGAAGACGCTGACGTCCAGCAGATTTCAGGTAGACACATAGAGCTGAAGAAATTTCCACAAGGAGAAGCAGCACTTGTGATCCTCTGAGCAACGAATGGCCGGATAGAAAGCTCCAGAATCCGTGGCCGCGGGCTATTTCCACAATGAGACTTCTGGGCAGCTTCTTTCGGAGGCCACACACCGGCTTCTCTGCCTTCAGGGGTTAGGTAGGTGAGTGGGTAGGTGAGTGGGTGGGAGGGAGGGAGCGGCTCCGAGCACCATCTTTTTTTCCCTCGGGCAGCTGCAGCCTTTCCGGACAAGCTTCAGACCTGAGAGAGCTCCTTCCCAAGCTTCCTCGGGGAAGAGGGGGAGCCGAGGAGCGTGGTTCCGCCGTCTTCCTCTCGCTCCCAGCGCAGCCTCTGGGCGGCCGTGGCGGCGAGGGAGGGAGGGAGCGTGTTTACGTCTCCGATGGGTGTGGGAAGAGGAGACAGATTCTAATGAAAAGATGGAGAGGAAAGAGAGAGAGAAAGGAAGGGATTAGGGAAGAAGGGAAGCACCACCTTTCTTTTCTCTGCTCTTCCTGGGGATCTGAAAAATCCTCCTAACGGGTTTTTCGGGCTCTTCGAGACCTTTGGGGAGAGCGGCCGCGCCCGCTTCAGCCGAGTCCCGAGGCTGCTCTTGGCTGACGCCCGCCGTGGCCGGGGCCGCCGTCTCCTCAGGCGCCGCGCCGCCGCCGCCGCCGGGCTCCCAGATGCTGGGGCCGCCGCCGCCGCCGCCATTTTGTGGGGAAGACTCGGGCTGCGGAAGCGCCCGCTTCATCTCCTCCTCGCCGCCGCCACTTTCGCAGCTCGGGTCCGTCGGCGAAGAGGCTTCCGTCTCCGCAGCAGTCGCCATCGCGCCGGCGTGAGCAGCCCGGGAAGCTTCTGCCAACAAGGTGAAGGGGGTGGGGGGAAGGGGCGGCGGGCCAGCCTGGCCGCCGAGCTGCTCTCAGCCCACCCTCCCCCTCCCACCCCCGCCCGTCGCTTCGGGCCGCGCTCCGGACTCAGGGGTCTCTCGAGGGCCCCCCACAGCGGGCGCCCCAACCGTGCCGCCGGCCCCCGGGAGCCGCTCCTCGCCCGCCCGATCCTTCGCCCGCCCCCCGCCACTCAACGTGCTCGCGTCTGAGCCGGGAGGGGGCGGGGTCCTCGTGGGCCGCTCCGCCAATGGGGGCGCGGCGCCCAATGAGGGCGGGCGCGGATACGACGGCGCCGGGGGGCGGGGCCTCGGGCGCTGGAGCCCGCCAAAAGGGGCGCCTGCGACGCCCCGCGAACACCTCGACGCCCGCCGGCCGCGGGTTGGATGGGCCTCAGGGCGAGACCATGCCGACCAGCGTTGTGGGTCCCGGAGGCGCGTCTCACCAGGTGTCGCCTATTTTGAAAGAAAACTACCTTCCTTGTCTGCGCAGGCGATACACAGGCCCAAACTGGACGCCAGCAGCGGGTGCCGGATGAAGCCGGTCTTTGGAACAGATGCAACTAAAAGCCTGTGGAGAAGATAAGAGAATGAACTGCAGCACCAGAGCCTGAAAGCCTCTGGCAAAGCCTCACCCAAGTTCAGGGAGCTGCCATTCTCACTGGATCTTGCATCTTTACAATAGATTACTTCCACCAGGCCCTCACTCTTTTATATGTTTTAAAAAATATTTTTTGATTTTTTTTTTTTTTTTTAAGAGAGAAAGGGAGAGAGTAACATCAATAATGACAGGAAAGCCGAAACCGGTTTGGCTCAGTGGATAGAGCATCGGCCTACGGACCAAAGGGTCCTGGGTTCGATTCCGGTCAAGGGGATGTACATTGGAGCAGCCCGGGGAACATCCCCGGTGGGGGAGGGGGATTTTGCAGGAGGCAGCTGGTTGATGTATCTCTCTCATCGATGTTTCTAGCTATCTCTCCCTCTCTGTGAAAAATCAATAAAATATATTTTAAAAAAATAATGACAGAATTGTCCATTGACAGTCTCCTGCAGACCCCTCACTGGGGATTGAGCCTGCAACCCAGGCATGTGCCTCAATCGGGGATGAAACCTTGACTTCCTGGTCCATGGGGTCAATGCTCAACTACAGAGCCACACCAGCTTGATGAGTTAGAAGTGGTTGTCCGCCTCTCGCAAGCAATCAATACCTGGAATCCTTTGATATGACTTCAGCCTACTGTTTACAGGATTTTGTTCTGGTGATTTAAATTGTTTTCCTTTGGTGTCTTTGGTTTCCTATGGTGAGTGTATTCTGAAGAAAAAAAAATAATACTCAATAAAAAATATACAGCAAATGGTACTTGAAAATAAAAGCAAGTCGAATGCCTTTTGAATAGTTTTGCTGACTAGGTTAAAACCGCTATCACTGGTTTTTGGTTGCTTTCTATATGCTAAACACTGGACAAGATGAGTTACATCATCTCCATTTAATCCTCACAATAACTATCGGAGATACCACAGGCATACCTTGTTTTAATGTGCCTTGCTTGAGCTTCACAGAAGTTGCGTGTGTTTTTTTTGTTTTTGTTTTTTACAAATTGAAGGCCAGACTCTCCACCTGCAAAAAGATTACAACTGGCTTTCTTGGACAAAAAGATTACAACTGACTTTATTGAGGTAATCTGGAACTGAACCTGCAGTATATCTGAGCTATTCCTGTCTTATGCACAATTTAAAATATATATTTTTTAAAGTATTTCAAGACCTTGAATAAAATGAAGTTATGGAAATCAGAACTTGAAGTTAGGCCTTTTTAATTCCATCATAAAGTATTTACACCTGACTACTTCTCCAAGACCTAATCTCCACAGCAGCTGTGCACTTTTATGTATTATGAATGAAGACATGAGGACTGACACCTAGTTTAGTCTCCTGGCAGCAAGATCAGTATTGGAACCCAAATCTTGATTCTTAAACTCCAGCTGTCTCCCAAGAAGATAACTAACCAAAACTATAATTATAACAAAATTCTAGGCCAGGGCTTGGGAATGTTTGCCCCTTGGGCCACTTAAGGTCCAAGAAATCATTTGGTCTGGTCCTGCCAAGGCATTAGGAGTGAAATGTTTGACCAAATATAACAGGCTAATTTTTAAGTTGATAATTTTGTTAGGCCAGCGAATGATGTCAGAAATATCCAAATGGCCCTTTGCAGGAAAAAAGGTTCCCCACTTCTGCTCTAGGCCTTGCTACTTAGAGAACATTCTCAAGAGCAGCATGAAAGTTGAATTCCTATGTCCTGTGATAAACATCCCGGTATGGAATAACAGCCTATATGGAAAAGCTTAATCATGGTTTGCCCAACCTATTTGAATCAGCTGAGTAAATGGAAGGACAATGAGTGTAATAAAACAATTATTCCTTTTAGTAAACAGTTCATGTAAAAACATGAAAAAATACTGATGAAAACATATGAGCTATATTGAAACAAAATGCTCATTTAAAAAGCGTTATTTTATTGATTTCAGAGAGGAAGGGAGGGGAGAGAGAGACAAATGGTGATGGAAAAATAAAATAAATAGGAAAGGGCAGTAGCCCAAGATCAAACAGGAAACTAATAATTACAGTTAACATGTATTGAGTACTTTCTATGTGCCAAGTACTGGTATAAGAGTATGTAATGTATTATCTCATTAATCCCCACACAAAATATTAATGTTATCTCTATTTTACAGATAAGGAAACTGAGACAGAGTATTTTTTAAATATATATTTTATTAATTTTTTACAGAGAGGAAGAGAGTTAGAAACATCGATGAGAGAGAAACATCAATCAGCCGCCTCCTGCACACCCACCACTAGGGACGTGCCCACAACCAAGGCACATGCCCTTCACCGGAATCGAACCTGGGACCTTTCAGTCCGCAGGCAGATGCTCTATCCACTGAGCCAAACCGGTTTTGGCTATTTAACTTTTTTAAGGTCATTTAATTTATAAATGGCAGAACCAAGATTCTAACCCAGGCAGTCTGCCTCCAAAGCCCATGCTCTTAATAACCGCTATATGCTAACTTCTCTTCTTAGTGGCAAAACGAAGTCCAGAACCCAGTGCATTTTCCACTTTGCCATTTCATATCACTTCCTCAAACAGTACTTTAAAAGACAAAATATAAATGGTATAATTCAGCAATACTATCAGTATTACTGATGTATAAACCTTTGACTTCACCATTTTACTTCTAGAAATTTATAATACAGATATACATACTCATTCACATTCTTAATGTTTATTCAAGGATATTCACTATTAATTGTAATGGGACAAGTGTTTGTAAAAGCAAAGGATTGGAAACAACCTAAATATCTATCATAGGGTATATCCATTATATGGATATTTAGGTTAAGTGAAAAATCCTTTATGTATTACATAAGTGATGGAGTATATGGATCGTTTAATTGCATTTTCTATGATCATGTGCCATATAAAGGAATGAAATATTGATACATGCTACCATGTGGAAGAACCTTGAAAAAATTATGTTAAGAGAAAAATTAGATACAAAAAGTTACATATTGTATGATTCCATTCATATGAAAGTTGAAAATAGGCAAATTCATAAGAACAGAAGATAGGTGGTTATCAGGAGCTGGGGAGAGGAGAGAATGAGGACAGACTGCTAATTAATTATGGGATTACCTTTTGGGGTGATAACAATATTCTGGAACTAGATATGCTGTTAGTTGCACAATTTTGTGAATATACTAAACCCCACAAATTATATACAGTTTAAAAGGATAGACTGTATAATATATGGATTATATCTCAATTTTTTAAAAAACAGAGAACATATGCATTCCCTGAAGAAATACTCCAAGCAGCAGACTCTCCCATCGGCTTTGAAGAAGCAAGCTGCCATGAATTCTACAGCTGCCAACAACTTGAGAGCACTTACCGTAGAAGAAAATCCTTTCCTGCTGAGTGTACAGGTGAGAAAGCAGCCCAGCTGACACTGACATCACCGTTGTGAGACCCAGGCACAGAAACCATCTAAGCCATACCCAGACTCTAACATATAGAAACTGTGAGGCAATACATGGATATTGCTTTAAGCCACTAACGTTTTGGATTTGTTACACAGCAATAAAAATATAGAGCCTAGCTGGTATGGCTCAGTGGTTCAGTGTTGATTTATGAACCAGGAGGTCATTGTTTGATTCTGGTCAAGGTACGTGCTCAGATTTTAGGCTCGATCCCCAGTGTGGGTTATGCAGGAGACAGCCAATCAGTGATTCTCTTTCATCATTGATGTTTCTATCTTTCCTTCTGTCTTCCTCGCTGAAATCAATAAAAATAAATGTTTATTTTATTTTTTTAATTTTCAAGGTACTTTGTTGTTAAAACAGGTCACAACACTAAGCCTCTGGTCTGTTCTGCCAATGTACAAGCTACAAATGCTTGCCCAGCAGCTAAAGGACACTCTGCAGAAGCATGTTTAAAAATTGAATAAAAATCAATATAAAACAAAATTGAAATAGTTTCCAAAGAAATACAGATAAGTGTGAACCTGTCACCTACGCCTTCCACCTTGTTCCATCTGTGCCAACCCCACTTACAAAGACATTTCAAAATTATCAATAATTAAGTTAAATGGTTCCCCCAAGCCCCTTAATTCAAGCTACACTTGCATAACAGCTTCAAGAATGGCATCTACACATTAACAGGAGCTGAAATCCCACTCTCCCAGCCACCAGACACAAGCAGAGCACTGGTGTTTCTGCTTCTCCACTTCAGGCTGGAAGTCATTCTGGACTTGCCACATCAGTTGCCATGCCAACCATGATATCACACAGTAGATGGCCTGCCTCTGGAATCCATTGAAAATAGAAGCAGCACCCATGTTTTCAAAGAGCATCCAGTCCCCCCATATGCATCTTGGGTAAGCTGCAGTGCTCTACAATGCAATTGAGGCTGTCACAGGTTGGTCCCACATGCTGGATGAAGAATACCTCTCGCCGAAACCGGTTTGGCTCAGTGGTAGAGCGTCGGTCTGAGGACTGAAAGGTCCCAGGTTCGATTCCGGTCAAGGACACATACCTTGATTGCGGGCATGTCTCCAATAGGGGGTGTGCAAGAGGCAGCTGATGGTTGACTCTCTCTCATCGATGTTTCTAACTATCTCCCTCTCTGTACAAAATCAATAAAATAAAAAAAAATTTAAAAAAAAAAGAATACCTCTCATCTGGTTTGGGGCTCTTCTGCAGAAGGTGCTTCATGTGCACATGATCATAGAAAATGCAATTAAACTATCCATATACTCCATCACTTATGTAATACATAAAGGTTTTTTCACTTAATTCATCAGAACCTGTTTGTTCCTTTAATACCAGTTTTTTGGCAATTAACTGCAATTGTGAAAGCTGATGCAACATAGTATCTGCCTGGCTCAGCGATAAGTGTCACTCCCGAGGCTGTTGTAAAATACTGAGTTGATTACTGTACTAAGATCCAGGAAAGCCACCACCAATACCCAGCAGATACATGTTGAAACCAACCTCAGCTCCCATGTCAAAGGCATAGGGGGCATCAGAGATGGCCTGCATGAAGATCTCAGGGTCAGTACGCCACTTCCCATGTGGAAGCTGACACCAATGACATCAATATGTAGCTCTTTTGCTTGTTCCAAAAAGAAGCTTGCTGGTTTTAAGTATGGTACCAAATTTAACACCGAGACCATGGGCAGTTTCACAATCCCCAAAACCAACTTTGCCTTTGGATGTGAACTGGCAACTTTCATCAACTCGACTTCACTATCAAAAGTCATCATCTGGATTCCATTAGTGACATCTTATTTAATCGGAAACACTTGTTTACAAGGATTTGCATAGATAATCCTCCCTGGAGGCACCCCAAGACTCTGCACTAATTGTATTTCAGTCCTGCTGGCATAGTCAAGACCTCTCCCGATGACAGCTGGAGTTCTCACTGTGGTTCTGCTGTCACTGCATTTGACTGAATAAAAGGGGGAATACCAAGGAAGAGCTTTTAACCACTTCAGGTGTTTCTTCAGAATGTCTTCCAGATCTGCAACAGAGAAGGCATCCTTATCACTGGAAGAAGAGGCTTCGTCAATTTTTTGGTCTAGAAGGTCCTTGGCAGTAAAGCCCTCATTGAGGAAATAGCAGTCAAACTCTTCATTACTAACATTGTTCAAGTTCATGATTTTTGGATGTTCCAAAACGCAGCACAAAGGAACAGGAAGAGGAAGGACTTAAGAAATTATTACCAGTTGTTCATAAATGCATCTCTCCAGGAATTCCAAGTCCACAGAAGATGGGCGTCCTCTTGGTACAGCAGTAGAAATGCCCTAAGAGTGCAGTGGCACCTTACGCTGACCCCATGGAGGCCTCCTTACCCACCCACCCCCCGCCCCCACTTCTACTCTCTCTAAAAATCAATGGAAAAAAACAAACCCTTAGGTGAGGATTAACAACAACAAAATTAACATAGAAGTTACAACTTGCCTGGCATTTTTTAAAGTGATTTACATATGTTAACTTTATTTAATTTTCACATAAATTCTATGAAGTAGATACTCATTTTTTTTTTTCTGATAAAGAAGCTCATTATGTGCAAAAAAAAAAAAAAAAAAAAGAATAGAATGTTAACATCTGTACCCCTGAAAGGGAAATGCAGTTAAGTATATGCACTTATTTGTATAAAACTTTTGTGGAAGGCTACATAAGTAAATAGCAAATCGGTTGCCTGAGGAAAGGAAATGGTCTGGAAGACAAATGGGAGAGACTTTCACTTTATATCCTTTCATACTTTAAAGCTAAAGAAGATTTTTAAAAACCCTGTTCATACAAGAGTGAAACAGTAATATCTTAATAATCATCCAGAAAGCCAATACAATAATTTTATGTTTTGTTTTTTCATATATATATATATATATATATATAAAATTTTTTTACTATATATTTTATTGATTTTACACAGAGAGGAATTGAGAGGGAGAGAGAGTTAGAAACATCGATGAGAGAGAAACATCAACCAGCTGCCTCTTGCACTTTCCCACTGGGGATGTGCCCGCAACCAAGGTACATGCCCTTGACCGGAATCGAACCCGGGACGTTTCAGTTCGCAGGCCGACGCTCTATATCTACTGAGCCAAACCGGTTTCAGCTCTTTAATATATTTTTATTAATTTTAGAGAGGAAGGGAGAGGGAAAGATAGAAACATCAATAATGAGAATCACGGATTGGCTGCCTCCTTCACGCCCCCTTATGGGGATCAAGCCTCCAACCCTGGTATGTGCCCTTGGCCTAAATCAAATCTGGGATCCTTCAGTCTGCAGGCCGATGCTCTATCCACTGAGCCAAACCAGCTAGGGCTATGTTTCTTTTTAAAATTATTTAAAATTTTTTTCAATTACAGATAACATACATTATTATATTATAACAATTACCGATAACATACATTATTATATTTGTTTCAGGTGTACAACACGGTGATTAGACATTACATTACTTACTAAGTGATCATCACAATAATTTCACACCCATCTGACACCATACATAGTTATTAGAATGTTATTGACTATATTCCCTATACTATATTTTACATCCCCCTGACTATTCTGTAACAACCAATTTGTATTTCTTAATCCCTCCACCTTTTTTACCCATACCCTCAAACCCTCCCATCTGGCAACTATCAAAATGTTCTCTGAATCTATGAGTCTATTTCTGTCCTGCTTGTTCATTTTGTTTCCTAGATTCAATTGTTGATATGTATTGCCATTTTGGTGTTCATATTTTTTATTTTTTTTCTTCTTCATACAGAAGACCCTTTAACGTTTCGTATAATTTGGAGGTGTGACCAGCCCATTCTGTGTCTCTGGCCTCCTACCACTTTCAATGTGGTCTCTTCTTTAATTGTGTAGTTGTAGAACTTCCATTCAGCCAGATTTCAGGTGATTCTGAATGATGGTGGCTCTGTAGTTTAGTTGTAATTTTGATATCTTGTCTGGAAGCTCCCATATATTTCAATACAGAGGAATTATAGACTTCCACATGCTAATCATAGCAATTAAGTAAATATATAATCAGAGTTAAAAGATTTACACGTAGTAAAACAAAAGCATTAATAATGTACCTTTGAAGTGAATAAAGTCACTAATAAGAATTGATAGTAACAACAATCTGTAACATTTGCAAAGCAATTTCATGTGGGGTATTTTTGTTATGTTTTGTTTTGTTTCTTAGGTAAAAGATGTTATCTGATGCCCACAAATACCTGAATCTTCAAATCTTCAAGGTTACACAACTAGGAAGCTGCTTTCTTTCTTTCTTTTTTTTCTCTGGACATTTCCATTGAAATGCAGCTCTAGGGAAAGATAATAGAGGCCAATCAACAAAACCACCACTAATAGATCTAATTAATAAACTTTAAGGATCTTAGAGATTAATTAGTCTGGTTATTATATGAATAAAGACAGTATTATAAACCTACAATTTCATTGCCTATTCAGATGCATTTAAAAATATGAAATTGCCATTCTTTCCAGATGCTTAAGCTAAAATAATAATCTTATTGAACAGATATTTCTTGAATTTGTCCTAAGAAAGTATAAGAAAGACCCTTTTACTTTAGCAACAATCTGGAATGAAGTTCACCAATGGTTTGTCTGGAAGTCTTTCCATGCAATGAAGAGAAGGCAGAAAAAGAATCCTAAGTTGAAAATAAGAATATAGCTAGGGATGAGCAAGTATGCAAGTGTCCCTTAAACCACTATGCCAGCTGATCTGATAACTACAAGTCTCCACTAAATCCAGTAGTTAACAGCTGTGACTAATGTTTACATTTTTGTTTCCTTTTTGAGTCAAACTCTTCTAAATCTTCTGTTACATGTAATGTCCTGGATGAATCTTACAGGCATAATGTTAAATGAAATAAACCAGACACAATATCATATATGGTATGATTCCATTCCTATGAGTTCAAGGCCAGACAGAAATAATCTATGGTAATAAAAGAATAGTGTTTTCTTTTTGGGAGAGGGGGTGGTATATTGACTCAAAGGGGACATGAAAGAACTTTCTGAAATTATGGAAATGTTCTATATCTTGATCTAGGTGATGTAACAGACAATGTACACATTTTTAATTTTTATTGAACTGTGCCCTTAAGAGATATGCATTTTACTCTATGATGTTATTCTTTAATTAAACAACAATATAAGCAAAATGAAACAAAACTCCTCTACAGGTTCTTATTATCTGATATAACAAAAGGCTAATATGCAAAACTCATTAGGATGCACACTGACCACCAGGGGGAAGATGCTCAACACAGGAGCTATCCCCTGGTGGTCAGTGCACTCCCCTTGTGGGAGCACCGCTCAGCCAGAAGCCAGGGTTACAGGCTGGCGAGTGCAACAGTGGTGGTGAGAGCCTCTCCTGTCTTTGCAGCAGCGCTAAGGATGTCTGACTACTGGCTTAGGCCTACTCCCTGGAAATCCTCCAAGGGGTCCCTGATTGCAAAAGGGCACAGGCTGGGCTGAGGGAAACGCCCTCCCACCCCCTACAAGTGCATGAATTTCATGCACCAGGCCTCTAATTCAAGGGATAATAAAGAAAAGAATTCTTCATATGACTTTTAGAGCCCTGGTGACTCTTGCCCTGGTAGAACTTTCTCCGTCCACTTGACTTCCCTAAACTCCTTCTTGGTGCTTCCTCAGTCTGGCATACTTGCTGAGCTCTTCTGGCCACATGGTCAACCTTAGCACATGCTATTTCCCTAGTGTACTATGCTCTCCTCATTAACTTCCTCCCCATTAGCTCCTACATTTCTTTGGTTTAAGGTTCACTTCCTTGTGTAAGCTTCCTTGATCAACCCACTTCTGTTCTAGCTTGGGTTCCCCTCTTGGTGTTCTCATAGAACCTTGTTCCTTTCACCCAGACTATTTACATCCCACTCAATCTGTGACTACTTCCTCCTTTGTGGGATTATTTAATTTAAATCTCTCTCTCCCACTAGACCTATGCCCCACTTCATGAGCTGAGGGGAGATGTCTTGATTTACTTACCACGGTATTCCCAAAACCTGACATAGTGCCTGGAACACAATATATATTTACTACCTTGTTTCCCCAAAAATAAGACAGTGTCTTATATTAATTTTGCTCCCAAAGATGCGCTAGGTCTTATTTTGAGGGGATGTCTTATTTTTCCATGAAGAAGAATACGGTACACATTTATTGTTAAATGAAAATAAAGGAAATGTATTACCTGTATACGGTACGGTAGTACGGCAGTTGTCAACACAAACCAGACAAACTGAATCCTACAGTAGCAAGAATTTACTCATTTATTCAATGACAATCATGTCATCATCTTCTGGAACATCATCATAACAATCCAATTTCTGAATTTCCTGGTGAATTTCTTGTGACTCCATTTCTTTCAGAATCAGTGGACCAAATCTCTCATGTATCAAGGTGGGGGGAGGGGAATCACTTAAAATGACACAGGGGGATCAAAGGGGGGAATCAAAATGGCACATGAGAATCAGAGGGGGGATTACCATTTTTCTAACTCCTTTTGATCTTCCTGTGTCATTTTGATTGCCCCCTCTGATCCTCCTGTGTCATTTTAAGTGATCCCCCTCCCTCCACCCCTGTGCCACTGAACACCTTCACCAGACATCCCCCCTGCCCCTTTATCAGACATTTACCCTCTGGGACCTGCCTGGGGACTGTCACTGGGCTTGCTGGGGCCTGGATCTGGGCTGGAGCAGGGTCTGCCACTGACTGAGAACCTTCAGTCATCATGAGGGCGGCCGAGAGCATCAGGTAGTGTCATCAGAGACAGACTAGCACTCACCACCTTCGCCGTGTCCCGTCTGCTCTAATCCTCCTGTTTTTCTACACGCATCTGCAAAAGTCTCCTCTCTCCCACCCCATGCTCATTGTTCACTCCGACCTCTGCTCCGCCTCCACACAGCAATGACGTCAGGAGTCCGCGTAATGTCAATGGTTGCTAGACACCAGTCGGGGCGGATAGAGCATTGGTCTGCGGACTGAAAGGTCCCACGTTGGATTCCAGTCAAGGACATGTACCCTGGTTGAGGGCACATCCCCAGTAGGGGGTGTGCAAGAGGCAGCTGATCAATGTTTCTCTCTCATTGATGTTTCTAACTCTCTATCCCTCTCTCTT